TTTTTCTTTGTTTTTCTGACTATGTCAGATGAGCTAAAAATGGAGCATTTGGATCATCTTTACTTCAAGAAATTACTTAATTATGCATACATTTAATTCCTTGAAATGAAAATGAATACTACAAAGTACAATCAGATGAAGACATACATGGTAAAATTATGGATATAAATCTAAAATTCTAATTGCACTGGCAATTCATAACAATTCAATCTTACGACTCATGTGTCTCCTGTTGCATATAACAATAAATAAATATAATTAGCATTGTCTTGTACTATATTTAAACCTAATGCTAAACTTTGTAAAAAGCATTAGATATATGGGAGGTACATATGCTAAGACATACTTTCTCTGCTATTGAAGATGAAATTCCCATATCAACAAGAGCTTCCAGATAGTCAGCTCTTGGTTGCCAGCCAGTAGCTTGAGCAGCAGGTGATACTCCAGGGTCTTCCGCCCCTGTGGGCTCCGGTCTCTCCTCCTGATCCATACCAAGTCAATAGTCGATCGTTGCCTTGTTCTTGGTCCAACACTCCAGTCTTCGTTGCAAGGCTGCCTAGACAATTTAACAGGGCTATATAGTAGAATCAACATAACTCCACTCCTTGATGTTTGCACCAACCTATATCCCAGTGCCTTAAAATGGTAACATTCATCAAGATATCGAAATATTGCACATCATGCTTCAATCAGAAGTACAGTGCTAGATATTACTTTGAGTAAAATGTTCCTCCAGGAAAGTAAATTAAGTTAATTACAAGTGATCTAATATTTCCATTGTATCAGCGTATTGGATATCAGAGACACCAATTATGGTCTGTTCAATCAATGATATTAGTGGATGCATGTACTTTAGGCCAAAGAAAAAATAGATGTCTTTGCAATTACACTAAGTTAGCTGGTGGTAGATTTTGTTCATGAATACTCAATTTTTACTACAAAATTCTTATAGGGTAATTGTATGTCAAGGTCACTGAAACTCATTGTAATATAGCATTAGCAATCCATGCTACCTTGACCCATACCCATGCCCCATGCATAAAAATTAGCACCATTGATTATTTGAAACAAATTCTCAGCTATTCAGTAGATTCTTAAAACAAGCTCAGAAAACTTTCAATTGACAAATTTATGATGTGTGTTATACACTGTGTAGATTCAGTATTGTATTTGTAGTGTGTTGTGTGACTTGTGTCAATAATCATGTACAACTACATACAACACCTTATCACTATATCCAGTGCAGTGGACTCCGACAAGTACGAGAACATAACATAACATAACAACTACAAGTACATACAATACCGCTCATCGCTTAATCAGTATGCCCTGATAAAGCGGGACCACTGTTATCATAGATGACGAAACAACATTCGCGAGTCATGCACTTGCCAACTCACGTGATACTTGTATTATTAGTAATTGTAATAATGTAATATATTATTTTATTTTTTATTATTATTAAATCTTTATTGCATGTAATTCAGATACAAATACATGTACTGACAACAGTTTTTTTCATGGAGAAAAAATCTGATAAAAGCAATAGTGTTGAGTAGATAAATTGCTAATAGTAGTATATCTAATGCGTAATATTACTAGTAGTACGGTAGTATTGCTAACGCTAAGTAGTAAATCACAGGCACTTGAGACAGTCATTAAAAACTGAAAATAATTTCAACGCGGCACATTCACAAAAACTATTCGTTTATTACACTGACTCTCTCCCAAGTGCCTGTGTGTGCTAAGTATTGTGTATGATAGCTCCAAGAACAGTCTTTGCTAGGGTTAGAAAAACGTTTCAAATTCTTGCCCATAAAAACTTGTAGTTGGCTCGGTATCCAAACATCGCCACAGCTAGCGTCACATGTAATAGCTCAAACGAATCTATATACTTATTTATCGAATTATGCCGTATTTTCTGAGATGAATTGGATGAAAACAACCAGACAGCCGCCATGTCTGCCATGTTCGGTGCGGCTAAAATCGGCAATGGACCTGATTTTCACAATGCGTAGGCCTAAACACAAGGCAAGTACATATCTTCCCAATAATAATTATTAAGTTGTTGTAGATTGATGTTTCCTGGTTTTCAATGTTTTAATATTTATGTATATACGAGTATATGATGCTTATTTATGCTCTTACGCGAGTTGCAACGCTATGCCTGGTAGGGACAGTGATTTTCCGCGATCGCGGAAAACGGACGGAATTCACGGAAATGGCCATTTGAAACGGAAAATCGCGGAAAACCCTTTTTTGCTAAAATGTTCACTTTGTGAAGAAGAAAACTGTAAAATTGACACTTTCTTTTAATTTTGTTACCATTAGAACAATATCGAACCTAAAATCAACCTTGATAACACCGAATTCTTACTCTTACTCTTAGTGTCTGAATAGTACTTACTGTAGAATACTGATATTCATCAGATTCTGTTAGGAGCGAGTGCGCTGCCATTTTGTTTTCGATGGGCCAATGCAGATTGTACATGCTAGACTATATGACGCAGCGAAAGCTGCTGGAGTCCAGCGAGATCTCGCGAGAAGTTAAGTAGCAATGCCAGGGTTTTGATAACTTTCTGCACGTGGTTATTGGTAAGTGAAAGTCTAACTGTTTTTACACTTTTTTTTGTGTATTGTGACTTGTCACTATAATTAAATTTTTACCGTTTTACATTTTAATAAACATACAGGTTTGTTTTTGTACATGCAAATCTTATGTAAACGGAATTTTTGTTTTTTCATGTGTACAAACTACAAAGTCTATGGCAAAACGGAATTTCCGTTTTTCAGCCACTTTGAAACGGAATTCATGATTTTCCCAAACAGAAAAGGCCCTTTTTTGAAACGGAAAATCACTGTCCCTAGCCTGGTATGTTATGTCGTTTCGGGTTTTCCGCGTTCCGATCGAAACGCATGCGCAGTGGAAACATGGCGGTTGGCGGTTAAAGTGAAATTTAGGTCTGGCTCTTGAAATTTACACTGTGCACAGCGAACTGAGGTATTAGTTTTAATAACAACGCTGGAATAGGCCTACTATAACTTAAAGGTGAAGGTTATACTTGATACAAAACAAGGCAGAAATGCTTAGATAATTATTTTATTTGAGATATATACGTAATTGTTCGGCAGTTTTTGTAGAGGTACAAGATTATCTAATGGATGGATGTCAGTCACACATCCTGGTCGGGCTATGTCAGTAGGCCCTATGTCATGTGGGTGCAAATCCACTTTAGGCACCTTAGCTATCACGAAGTGGGTGTATGACACTCGCAGCTAGGGCCTGCATACCTCCCAAAGTTATACTCGGTCAGGTTTTTAACACATTCAGGCCTCGACGCTTACTTTCAAATCTGGTTGTCCTGTCGGGCAACAAGAAGCAATTTTTACTTGTCCGAATTTTGATTTTACTCGTCCAAAATTTACTTGTGCAATCTATGAGCCGTTAATGTCCTCTTTTGGTTCAGTGCATACCATATTATCAGGAGTGTATAATATAGAGACCTATATTATATAAATAGATATATATACATATATAACATATATAGATAGATGTAGATATATATATATTGTACACTCCTGATATTTTTGCCAGTATTCCCTGCGTGCATATAGGCTCGCACATACCTAGGCATGTGCCTGGGCGCGCGTTTGCATGCGTGTGTGCGTATTACACTTACAGTATATATACCGTAATTACTTGTGTATAAACCGCGCTTTTTGTACACAACTTCAATAAAAAAAAATCAGGGGGTGCGACTTATAGACGAGGCCAAGAAATCTTGTTAATGTAACCATGTTTGTACCAACTTTTCAATGCAAAATATGGGGTGAGACTTATAATATACATGAATTATACTTATACACGTGTAAATACAGTACATGTAAAATCGTCATGAAATTTACACGTTTATGTTTGCGTGCTGGCACGCTCATTGTGTGTCATTATTTACCGATTGCAGCTTTTTCCTCAATCACAGGAATAAGTTTTGCTGTCGTCCTCTCATCCCAGCGATGCCCACCCCCTACATATTCAGTAATGAATATGCCCCAACCGACTTATAAACAATCGTACCCCCACCCCAGTACATAAATCAATGCCGCCCCGGCCAGGGAGGTATGCGTATTGCCGCTCTGAATAAATCTGTAATGGTAACAGTGGGTGTTGCGGGCTGCTTTTTTCATGGACCTTTGAAAACGTTTGAAGTGAGAATGTAGCGCGATAGCGCCCTGGCTTAGAGGATGTTAGGAATATTAAACAACTAGAACTTTTCAGTTGTCCGATCGGGCAACTAGGCAAGAGAATAGCTTGTCCGACATAGACTTTCACTTGTCCCGGGCAATCGGACAACCGTTAGTGTCGAGGGCTGACATTCTAACTCTAAAACTGTTACGTTAAACATTCTTAAAATATATACATAAACAGGCAAGACGGTTGTCATTTTGAATACGAAGTTTTATTTCCTATCGTAGTTTATTTCAAAAGTTATATCAGCCAAAAGTTGCTACCACGCCCGCTAGATCGCCCGCGCCATATTGTCTATATATGACCAGCCAGTGTTGCAATCGAGTCAAGGTAGCAACTTTCGGCTAATATAACTTTTGAAATAAACTACGATAGGAAATAAAACTTTGTATTCAAAATGACAACCGTCTTGCCTGTTTATGTAAATATTTTAAGAATGTTTAACGCAACAGTTTTAGAGTTAGAATGTGTTAAAAACCCGACCGAGTATAACTTTGGGAGGTATGTAGGCCCTAGCTGCGAGTGTGTATGACTATGACTGGCAGACTCAGACCACAGGCACTTGGAACGTCTCAATGGAAAAAATTTATGGTAAATAAACACGAAATGTACCAGTATAGTCACCTGTAAATGCCGGTCAAATGCTTATCTGCAAGCACTGCACGCCCGCCCTGTGCTACATGCACAAACAACATGAATAAGAGCGCAGGTAGGAAAGCGGGATTGAAAAATTCGTTCGACGCTCGCTTCATTTCACACGATCACAGAACGAAAACATATCCAACAGCTCCCATCTTGGTATCTATGTGTACATAAATGTTCACTTGTTCGAATTATAACTCTGGCCTTTGTTCTTACCTACTCCCGCCAGAGATATCTCGTGAAATCCTGCAGATAATGTTCTCTCCGTGAAAATGTAGAGGATGGTATCATGCGAAAATCCCTAACGGCGCTACTTTCGATCGATCGCTGTAGTCGTGTGTGCGTGACGTCATGCCCGCGCGCATTGTGCTTGGCTTGGCGGGCCTCGAAACGGAGCTCGGAGGCCGGCAGCAGCTCATCCCGGCATGCAATATGCCCCATTACTCGTGTATAAACAGACATCTCGTCCTCTTTACACTTTCAAGGAGAGCACATTTCGTGCAGCATTTCGCGAGATATATCTCGCGGCGGGAGTAAGGAAGAACAAAGACCAGTTATAATTCGAACAAGTGAACATTTATGTACACATAGATACCAGAATTGGGAGCTGTTGGATATTGTTTCGTTCTGTGATCGTGTGAAATGAAGCGAGTGTCGAACGAAT